TGTCCCACTTCCCGGTCGTTCGTCCGGGGTGTTTACAGTGTTTTTGTATTCATGATGCACTGTCCTTCTATCGCGACTTGTCAACTTGTCGGTGATTCATAGTTACTCATTTTATAGAGAGGAAGGTAATGGAATAGGAATTATATATACATAGACTGATTTTGAGCCCTACGCCAGGGTTGCTCGGATGCTACGGAGGTTTGCGACGTCAAATAAACATGTATAAAATTGCCTGAGATGGCTTGAAATGATGAAAGCAATTGATGTAAGTGGTGATACAAAATGATCAAGATAAGTGCAAACTGACACAAGATTATCTGAGTTCCCTACGTCAAGAACCCATGAGGTCCATCAACGATCTCCATCTCACCTGCTAAACGAGCATCATCATCTCATGACATGCACCACATCACAGGAACTATGATTCGATGATTGAACAAAAAAAAAACATTATAATTCGAAATGCGCCTCGCTAACAAGTAACATATCTAGAAGTCTTTCCAAAGCCCCGAAACCAAACAATGATGCTGAACTCTTGTGTTGTGTTTCCTTTCCTGCTCATTTCATTCTGTCTCCGACATTGTTTCCATCACTTCTTTCCCAGCATTTCTCTCAAGGCATCCACCTCAGCTTCTCTCCTAGCAAGTTGAAGTCTCATGTCATCCCTCTCATTTGTCATAGCAGCCAGTGCCTCCTCGAGCTCCGAGATGCGATCGAGTCGCTTTTGGCGGTACTTGCGAGCTGCAAGGGTGTTGCGTTGGCGTTTAAGGGTGACAGCCGACTCTTCATCTTCCGGTGACGATTTACGCTTCCGGGAGGAGCCTGATGAAGAGGAGGGAGATGGGTGGAGGGAGAAGGTGGATGTTCCTGGTATAGATGAAGAGGGAGATTTGTTGGTGGTGGTGGTAGTAGTGGTAGTAGTGGTAGTAGTGGGAGGGTGGGGAGTGCTTGATGTTGAAGGTTGCTCGAGTGGTGAAGAGTTGACAGTAATGAGGGGCTGCTCCTGGGCGAGGAAGCCGTCTCCCACATCGAGTTGAGTATTCGTATCCAGAGCGTTCATGCCAGGAATCATAATCTGATCAAACAATCCCTCTCCCATGTTCTGACCAAAATTCCACGACGCATCATTTCCCTGGTAGACACCTTGGGAGCTGAAGTCGAAGTCGAGAAGGGGAAGATCCAAGAAAGGGGAAACGTCGCACAAGAGACCAAAATCAGAATCTGGCGCCGGGGCACTGATGAGACTACCATGACATGACGAGTTGTCGGGCGCACTTTGATCCTGATGCTGCTGCGACCGCCATTGATTCAAGTTAGAGGGGGCTTGGCCTCCCCTGTAAGTGCAGAGAGGCCGATTAGGCTAAAGAGGGAAAGAGGAAGAGCGGACGGTGGGAGAGTCCGTTGGTGTTGATGAAGAAAGAAAAGTAGAGTGAGGACGAGAGATGGTGTTTTATATTGCTCGAGGTCGGGCGTACAGTGTGCTTGGATTTGGGGGGCACTTGCGCTAAAGCATTCCTTGCAGCCGGCGTTTATGGCCATGGGCCCGTGGACCCGAAACGGTGTGAGATGGGTTATCGGGATCGCCGTTTTTGCTCTTCAGTGACAGGACAATTGCGATATATCAAGTTTCAATTGCATGAAGTTTGGGCTGTGTAATTGGGTCTGACTCATTATTGTTTGTTGGTTGCAATTAACCAGTTGAAGCGGGCCATGGCTCCAATTGGGGATCATAAGCAATTGAGAAGGGCTCTCTGTTTGTTGAGACAACTATTCGCAATGACAAGCTGATTTCTTATACATGTTCAACTTAGTATGAGCAGAAATTCCAATTGATCTCAATTAGGTAGAATTGATGAGTGCTGGAGTGGGAATCTACGGGCGAGGGTTTTCTACGCTCGGTAAAGCGCGCGTTTCGCGATATTGTGAAGCTGTCGGGATTTACCACGGACCCGAAAACCCGACATCAAGACACACCAAAGAGAGTGGGAAGGCAGATGCTTCCAAACAATTTAACAACGATCTCACTTATCATCGGGTTAGTTGCATCAATGGTTTTTTCATATGGTAGCGAAGCTTGTTCCGGGGGAGGAAATGACCCAGAATCTTGAACAACCAGATCAAAACCATGCCGGGAGCTGCTGAACAAGTATAATACGTGCACAACACCCCTTGGCGAACGTGAAACGAGGAATCTTATGCAAGTGGTTTTCATAGAAAACACAATAGATAGGAAGTAAATAGCTCCTGTCGCAGAGTTAGTGCCTTACACCAATCTCAAGGGTACAGCTCTCGGGTAAGCAGCTTCACCACAGACCAGTTTAAGAGCATCTGATATCTGGTGCAGCATTTCTTGCCAATAACCTAGTAAACGAAGATGGAAATAAGACAAAAGACCGATTGGAGTAAAGATATCAGTTGAGGCAATTACCCAAATTCTCCCATTGGTCTGCTGCCCTATCTCCGAATCTCAACACTGCCTGCGCCCTCCACTTGTAGGGCTGTCTATTAAAAGGCTCGCCCTTACTGTCCGTCAGTGATCAGTTTAGGTTACAACAGACCGCTTAAACGGCACTGAGAACCAGTTAATATGACATGTTTTTCGCTTCCTTCGCGTCAATCTGACGCCCTTAGGCGACCTTCCTATTTGAAGATTGCAGACTCGGTGATTCACATATGAATATGAGGTATTTAAAGAGTCACGTATACGATTGAACGAACTACAACAAATTGACGCTATCCTTTCAGTACTGTTTAAGAAACCATCACTTACAATGTCTGACTTACACTTTCGCGTTGCCACTGAGGATGATGCCCCTCGTCTTCAAGAGCTCATCGAAGCAGCGTTCCGCTTCACAGACGCTCACATCGACTGGGTCGGATCTCCCGAATTGGCTGAAACATTCAATATCGACATATCCGTTATTATCGACAGGATCACTTCAAATGATAGTAAATTCCTGGTCGCCAGCGACACCCCTAACGGCCCTATAACCGGGTGCGTCAACGTTATGAGAAAGGCCCCCGATTACGGTCGTTTGTGTCTCTTAGCTGTCGACCCGACACTGCAGCGGGGAGGTCTGGGTAGACAGCTTGTCGCATATGGGGAAGAGTATCTCACGAAGGATTTTGGTGTTGGCAAGATTGGGTTGAATGCACTGCATACGAGAAAGAACCTCATTAAGTGGTATGAGAAGTTGGGGTATGTTAGGACAGGGGAGATGACCACGATTCCGCTTGAGAGGTTTGAATCGGACACGACTATTGTGTTGACCGAGTTGGATAAGACTGTTGCTTGACTTGAGGCTCTCATACCATGTGACCACGCTGGAGGATGGGAGTGTTGATGGACGAGAGATTGACAAAAGTGAGTTGCTGTGAGACTGGGGCATCAAGAAGCTAACACGATGCGCAGTGAGCCGCCATATAGATGTTTGAGTATTTTTATCCATTGCGGTGCAGATCACCCATGTCAACGTTGAAACGGGACATCAGTGCAAGTCGTTTGGAGGAGGAGGAGGACGGAAAGAAGTGCGATATCTCAAGGTTTCATCCCAATTCTTCTTCTCATGTCTCCATAAAAACATCGTCCCACTGAATTGAAGACAATACGATAGTGAATCCACAGATATAGATCAGCATTCTGATTCATGCCCAGTGATGATCATCAAGGTAGCACAAGAAGCCGATCCGGACCTGTTTTCTGGGACCCGAGGATTTCCTTCATCCCGACATTTCCCTTGTCTCTCTCGTGCCTCATCACCACGTCTTAGAGTGATCTGAGCGTGCTCAGCCTGCCTACCATATGTACCATGATTACCAACAGTCTTGGCCATACAAATTTTAACATGACAAACATCTCTGCGTCGTCTTTAAACGTACTGAGCCACGTCACGACGACCTTTCCAAAAACGCCGCCAAGAGGTCTGTGTTGCCAAGTTACGCAGCCAGTGTATTCTCATAACCAAACGAAAACCCCCGAGATCACCACGTTGAGCGAGGCTCAAACACGATAGGGCTCAAACTGATCAATCGCCAAGACAAACTCTGCTATTCAAGATAGAATGGAAACGCGTGGCTAGCGAGGCTGTGATATCGTCTTGGCAGCTGAGTTCACCTTCAACCAATGCGGATGCACGGGTGTAAATCTTTGTAGACGAATCACAAACGATCAATGTGCTTCTCAGAGAGGAAAGACCTCACGCGACAATAGAATCAAGCATAAATTGCGGGAGCTGGGGTAGTGGAGGGGGTATTGCGTGGCCTGGGGGGAACAGCCACTGATCATCGTGCGTCTGTTGAATCCTTTTGCTTTCTCGAATTTCTTTGTTAACTGCCGACCCTGGTTGTATGTCACTTATGACGCAGGGCCAAAACTTTAAGCTTATATCGCACGCCGGAGAAATATAAGCATAATCGGTCCAAATGCCTCTACTACGGATCCCAACATTCTATACGGAGTAATTTATCTGCAAACTGCTACGAGGTCAATACAAGCTCGCCGAGAGTATTGGCGCAACAAGTTCCCCAGACTTGGAGTCAAGCAAGAAATTTATCAGTGGAGAATGGCAGCCCAACGCTTTAACCATGACGCTCCGCCAAGACCGTAGAAGCGGAGACGAGAGTTATCGTGAAGCCAGTTACGAGCAAGCTTCTGAGTCGTGCAGACGATCAATTGGTGGGCAGATTTAATTGCTTGGCATATCACCCAGGCATTACGACTGCCGTGGCTGGGTGAAAGCAGGCAAGGATCAATCGACATTAAGGCGAGGCTTTCGGCTGGCCAAGGGGATCGTCGGGAAGTGACATGCAATGAGAGTTGCCAAGAAAGTAAGAATGTATTGTGAAACTGGAGTTGACTGATGAGAATGTATAAATGCCTGGTCTGTCCTTCAATTCGTTCTCTCATCACCAACAGCTTCATTCACAACCTCAACCACTGCTTCACAGTTCAAACCCAACAACAAACAACAACAGAGCTTCTTCTCACACAATCACTCAAAATGTACACTTCAACCATCGCTCTCGCTATTGCTCCCCTTCTCTACCTCGCCCGTGCAGACATCAGTCTCGACCGGGACGACATTCCACGAGAATGCGACACCATCTGTGATCCCATTGTCCAGCTCACCAAGACATGCGACACTGACCTCCGCGGTGACCGTGACCGTGAAGAAGACCGTCTTGAGGCTCAGTGTGTCTGTACCAACGACTCTTTCAACGTCAGCCGTGTCGCTGCTCTCTGCGCCGGTTGCATTCACCAGAATGCTCAAAACAACCGCGATGACGATGACGACGATGATGATATTCGTGATGACACCGAGGGTAAGTTCTCTCAATAAATCATACGAGCTGTGCTAATTCTGTAGAAATCGATGATCTCATGTACACCTGTGGTTTCTCATCCACCACCTATGTCGCATCCGCCGCCTCAGCTGCTGTCTCTGGCGTCTCAGTCGATGCGACTCGGCCTACAGATGCTTCTCAGTTGACCACCACCATTGTTGGCGGTACACGAACCCAGAACTCCAACGAGCCTTCTGCTACCGGTAGCAGCGGTGGTAATGGAGGTAGTGGAAGCAACGACAACAACAATGATGCTTCTGCTACCAACGACGCTTCCAACCCCGATGAGACCAATGCTGCTGCTGCCATGGCACCTTATGGAGTCGTCGGCGCTGTTGTTGGCGCTGCTATGCTCCTGGCTTAGATTTGATGGGACATCACCCACCCTGTAAGAGGGCTACTGAAACGATGAAGGATTGTCGCTTTTTGTGATACGCCTTATTTTTTTACTTAGAGGAATACGCTTAATGAGATATGTCGCTATTTATCATATGACACCGTCTACCGATGTGAATCCATATGCCAGATAAAGGAAACTCACTTGCGACTCTTATCTCACCTCATCGGCGAACTGTATCTCTCGTCTAATTGGAGGTGTCTCATCCCCAGCATGGACCGGCAGCTCTGAGCGCATTCTTTGAGCACCAGTAATGACAATTGGACCAGTAGGCGGACGTGCATCTTTCTTATCTGGTCCAAAGAAATACCTCCCGATGAAAGGGATGTTTCGTCGGCGTCCACCCGCTGGAGCATCGCTCAGACTTTCGCTGACCACACGGCTCAATGTCCTGGGTGCGTGGAAACCCAGTTTTCCTACTGGGATACTCAAGCCATGAACGATCTATGTTCTGTCAGCATAAGAGCTATTGCTGAATAAGAGAGTACCTACAATACTGCAAACTGCAAGGAACCAGACGATAATCCGCGTCTGGTCTCCAAGATTCTTAACATCGCTCCTCGGACGGCCATCCTCATCACTAAGATGTTTCTCGATGAACTCCAGGCTGATAAAGAGATAAAATACTGCCGAGACACCAATCGGTCCAAAGAAGCCTACGAAAATAGCCTGCTTGACCTCCTCGATCTGATGAATCCACTTGTGCATGCCAAACACCCACGGGAGTCGCCTCAGAACTAGAACACAAATCCCCAGTACGACAAGCTGCCACAGAGGAATAACAGAGTTGTCGTGGAAGTCTTTCCAGGGGATGTAGGCTCCGTACCAGAGAAATATGGTGACATTGAGGAGCATGTCGATTGTAGGTTGGAGAGAGTCGTCTTTCGTCTCGAGACGGAACCAGTCGTCCCATGTGAATGTGTTACCGGCGATGAAGCATGCCAGGACGTCGTCTGTACCGACCATACCGCATGTTCCTAGTACGAAGAGTGCTAGGGCGATGGCGAAGACGAGGAAGCTTTCGCGATCAACGTAGTTATGCTTTTCAGCAAAGTGAAGCAGCTCTTTGCCGACCCATCCCACGACAGCGCCGTAGATTACACTGAGAAGGATGGTATAACCCCAGGTCATACCGAACCACAGCCCCATAGCATCAGCTGCTCCACCAGATGTGGCGCCAGCACCCGTGAACTTGACCAGATAGAGCGCCAAGAAGAGAAACGGATAGCCCAGTCCATCGTTGGCACCAGACTCAGCAGTGATGAGATACTGAAGGTCCTGCGGGATATTATGATCCGCAAACTTTCCCTTAACAATAACTGCACTGAGCACAGGATCTGTGGGTGTGACACAGGCTCCAATAGCAAGGGCGTGTAAGAACGGCGGCTGGCCTGCAAGCGCCCATACAAGCAGACTCGTGGCAAGCCACATACAAGTCATACCAGGCCCAAGAAGCAAACTAAGTGACTTCCATTCTCTCACTAGATATTTACTCGGCAACTGCACACCTGCAAGGACAAGCTGCACACCGAGAACAAGACGGCTAAAGTTGAGCGTTATAGCATTGAGGTCAAAATCGCACGACCCAGGAAACTCGGCGCACTCAGCGTAGTCCTTTGGACGAATGAAGTTGGCGCCATGAGGGCCAAATGCAACGCCTGCCAAGAGAGAGATAACTGTAAAAGGAAATGCGCTTTAGAAATGCCAAGAGATATTTATGCAAGGGTGTTTGCTGGTGACGTACGGGCTTCGGAGAGATAGTAGTTTTCTTTGAGGAGGTAGGATACGAGGCCGAAGACTGATATGAAGCCGCCGAGAAAGGCGACGACTATGTTGAAGTTTGTGGTTTGGAGAGGGATCGACCATAGGTGTCCAGACATTTTGGGCGTCTTGATGAAGTGAAGGTGAAAAGTCTTGGCAGGGAATCTGAGGCAGAGAGACGATGTCATGGGGGGATTAGTGCGTAGTACCAAGGCTACACCAATTAGATCCCAAGAGCCCTGTACCGATGGATGTGATATAAAGATCGGAATAAATTGCATCGGATTAATTCATCGCAGTCATTGAAACCCTGGTGATCTTGCACGTGTCAATAGCTGAATCATGTCTGAGATTTTGTGCATTGGGAATTTTTGTGTCATGTCTGCCACCAGATCAACACAATGAAACAGTTCAGCCGTTGCACTGCACATTGTGCCTTTTTTATAAACGCCATGACCAAGTAGATCAATTGCACTCAGCTCCTAGGGCTGACGGGCACCGGAACCCGAATCTGTCCAAGATCGTGTAACTCAATCTTGGTCAAGCCATTTGGATATATTCATAAAAAGTATCCGTGACTGATAGATAATGCGACCTTCAAGATGAGGCTCTTTATCTTATGCAGGCTTCTTTTCTCTTCTTCTGAAGTTGATCAAAATGGATGTAATGAACACCATAATCGAGCTTTCTTTGCAAATGCGAGGCCCATTTCTAGGTACCACGTTGGCAGCCTGTCTCCTCATCGCGATATTATACTGTGGCTACGACCACCGCCGATTTTATCGGGATTTGGTACCTCGCCTCGCCATTCACTAGTTCGCTTGAATAAACTAATCGCCTATAGCCAGGGCCTCCCCATAGCTGGCTGTTCGGCCATATCAAAGTCTTTGGTCAGGTCGCAGCATTGATGCCCCCAAACACTCACCCGCAGCTCTTCTACACAGAACTGGCCCGCTTATACAACCTCGAGGAAATATTCTATCTCGATCTCTGGCCTATAGCCTCTGGCATGGTCGTGATTATTGACCCTAAACTCATGGACAACTCATCGCTCCCGAAGCCACTTCCTATACATCCTTTTACTGCGGTGTTCTTGAAGCCGATGTTTGGCGAGGGCACAATGGCAGCAACCAACGGCGCCCTATGGAGGAAGATGGCCACAGCTGTTAGTCCGGCTTTCTCGATGAGCCATGTCCTAGGGATGACGAATATCATGATCGACGAATGTTTGTTATTCCAAGAGAAGCTGGACGAATTAGCTGCGGGAGGAGACGTCTTCTCCATGGAGGAGCTCGTCGCCAAACCAGTATACGACATAGTCTCGACAGCCACGTTTGGAGAGCCTCAGCATTCTCAAACAGTGGAAAGTCAAATTTTGAAGGATTTGAGAGACCTTGTGAATCTTGCTCAAGGAGAGACAGATCCCCTCATTGCCTATAACCCAATGGTACAGATCCCACGACGATGGAAGAGACACCGAATCGTGAGCCGGCTTCACAGCTCTCTAAGGGGAAATGTCAATAAGTGTGTTGAGCGGATTGTTCAGGAAGGAGTCGTTCCATTAAGACAGGACCCGAGAAGCATCATGGATCTTTTGGTTCGTGAACATGCGGAAGTTGTGCTGGAGGAAAGGAAGCGGGGTGTGTATGACCATTCAAAGCTTTCTAACTCGGAAGAAGAGATGCTCTTTAGCAAGTAAGTTTTGCTGCTCGACATAGGCTGGTACTAGCTAACTTCTACCATAGTCTGAGAACGATGCTGTTAGGAGGGCACAGCACATCGACGAACACTCTCTGCGTAGGTTGATCCTCCTTTCCTGAGAACATACTTGCCTAACTATATTACATTAGTTTCTATTTATGCTTCTATCAAAAACCCCTGATGTTGTCGAAAAGATGCACCAAGAGCACATTGAACAACTTGGAACCCCTCCTCAAATTACTCTTCTTGCCAACCCAAACATGCTTCGAAGGCTCCCTTACACAGAAGCGGTTGTCAAAGAATCTTTGAGACTCTACCCCCTGGGGTCCGATCTAAAGCAAGCACCTCCCGGTACAACAATCACCACACATGATGGCCGCCGCCTTCCTATTGCCAATGGCCTCATCGTGACAGTCAGTGCACACACCGTCCACTACGACGCACACATCTACCCGGACCCTGCAGCCTTTCGGCCAGAACGATGGTTAGATCAAGACAAGGCTATCCCCGGTGATTACTTCAGGGTATTTGGCGGGGATGGGAGAACGTGCCCTGGCCAGAGTATGGGAATGAACATACTCAAGATTATCATGGTCATGACTATGGGTAAGTATACGTTTGAATGTGCGGAACTGAAGCCCAATAGGGAACCCAAGACGAAGCACACGAATTCTGATCTTGTGTTTGGGGACATGGCGTTTCAGCAGCTTGGATTGGACGGGAGGCCGCGGGATGGGATGATGATGACTGTAAGGCAAAAGGTGCAAGGCTATTAAAGAGGGCTTTAGTCTTCAGCATACAAGCATGTTTCAATCAGTCAATGCCAATTATGCTAATATTTTCTCTAATCCGTCTATTTGTGCGTACATCTCATTATCTTCGATCCGGCGTTGAGGCCGTATTTGTCATTATAATTACCTCCCCGACATGCGCTTTTCCAACCATCGGAAGGGTATGTAGAACAAGGAACTCATGACAAACGCGATCTCAAAGCCAATATCACCAGTCGTCTTTGCAATTGGACCAGTCCACCAAGCCTGTGCCATGCAAGGCACAACGAGCGCGTAGCAAATGGTGCCCGCAGCGATGGCCGCAATACCAAGGGGTAGTTCAGACGCAACGTTCCAGATAGCATGATCGTAAGCTTCCCAGCGACCCTTTCGAAAGACAAGATGCTCAACTGAAACAATTCCGATGAAAGATGCAGACCAGTAACCGATAAGAGCGACAAAGTTCTCAAGGTTGACAAAGAAATCGCGCTGAGCTCGTATAGCTGTGGGGATGACGATGACGGTAACGACAATGGCGAAGGCGTAGCGGGGAATCTTGATCAAGCCAGGAATAAGAGTCTGGAAGTTGAGTGTAATGGCGTACATTGTACCGCCAGTGTTACCCAACAGAGTGAGCGAGAGAATAACAACCACAAACTTTCCAAAGCCACCGGCGCTAGAAAGCATGGCTGCGAGAACGCCTCCGACTGCTGTTTCACCATAAGCTTCTGACCACTCGGGAACATTTGGAAGAGCTCCAGCGATGGCAGCTCCGAGAACCATGAGGAGAATGGTGGGTGTGACGAGGCCGAGGTAACTGTACGCAAAGACCCGCCACGAGGGGACCTTGGGATCGAAATATGTCGTAAGATCGCTTGCAATGGCTGCCCAAGGGATCATGTAGCTCGCAACAATCATTCCAAAGCTGAGAACAGCTGCTGCAGTCGCTGGTGCCGCAGGAGGGGCCTGCTTCGAAAGCTCAGAGCCACCACATCCTGTCGCAATGGTGATGGCGATGATGGCGGGGATGAAAGCATAAGTCTCGTAGTAATGCAGAACCTTGAATCCACAGAACGAAATAAACAGCGACAAAATGCCAATAATGACAATGCCGACATCAGGGCTCAAGTGGCCGCTTGATACAGCGGAGAGACACTGTCCACCGACGACAAAGATGATGACCATGAAACCAGTCAGAGTGGCAAGGTTGAGAAGAACAGGAATAGAGACGAGATATCGACCAAAACTATATCTCGCCTGAATCATCTGTCTCATTCCCGTTTTGGGACCAAACGTAGCAAGATAAGCAGGCCCGATAGTTGAGAAGAGGCAGAAGAAGAGGATGATGAGCGCAGAGTCTCTCAAGCTCAGGCCATACACCAATGGTCCCAGCATGCCAAAAGTGATACTACACTTGTTAGTATACGCTCATAAAAAGGTTCAGAAATTAACTTACCCAAGGATATTAGAGTTGATAGACGCCCAGACCGTGAAAATGTTGTAAAAGCGTGTTACGGTGCGCTCTTCAAGGGGAATGGGCTGAATACCCTTCTCCTCAACTCTTCCCATGCGCAAAGCTTTGTGGAAAAGAGCCGCCGCCTTGAGACTCTCGACATCGCTGTGATCATCATCGGGAGGCATGCTCCTCTCTGGAGCTTGTTCTGTTTTTGTCGCCATTGCAAGACTTCAAGGAAAAGCAAGATAATATTATGATGAAGCCCCCAAATATCTTGAGAACTATAGAATGAGGAGAATGAGTCTTATAAGAGTCAACGGGCAAATAAATCGGTCACCCCGGTCCCGGACCCGGTTCCGCCTTTTTTTTTTCTGGGATGTCGCTAGTATTTTTGATCAACCAACGAGAATTCATTCATTCGCCAATGGCAGTCGATGTTAGTGTGACTGCTAACGCGATTCTGCGGGATAAAGGTCGCCGCATGGAGCTTTTACCGCGGACGACTTACCTAGTTAAGGCGTGTTGTTAAGGCGTGTTTGACAGGAAATGCCTGATGTTGCCGTATCTACCCTTCACAGATAATGTCTTTATTCTGTACTTGTTTTCTGATTGTATTTGATGTGTCTTGGTTGTAGCTTTATAAGTGAGTCAATTACTGTGGTATTGTCTCGGTGGTTTTGATATGAACCCTGTCACAACCAGATATCGAATGTTCGACGCATGTTCTGCATCCTTCTAACACGCCGTCCATCGATCTTCCGTCAAAAGCACGGTCTCTGTGGCGGAAAAGCCTAATCTGCCTCTTCTCCTCCATTCGCCTTCTCCATCCTCACGCCAAGAAGGGTCTCGACCTCCACCCACAAACAAGCTCCCATCTTTGTACAAGCTCGAATGTGTCTCGTGATCTGAAATCTTTCGTTATGCCCCAGACTTGGAAGTAACCAAGACCCAGCCCTATCACTATCGCTTTTACTGATTCTGGCTTTTGCTTTTCTTTCCTCGGAAAAAGCCTCCGACAGCGCCCATCAGACCTCCGAGGCCTTTCTCGTGACTGTCCTTGACTAACCCCCCTCTTATCCACCCCGGTAGTTTGCCCCGGATTCGCTCCGTGCCATATCGTCGATCCACAAGAACTATCGCCGCATAATCGCCCCGGTGCCGGATTGCACGGCCGATACTCTGATTAACTGCCCGCATACAAGCGTTTTCGTAAAAGTCTCTCGCTGTCTGTTTGCCTCTACTTATAGCTTCTTCTTTCGCTACACCTTGTGCCGTAAGATTGTTCTGTGTTGTTGTCTCGATGTACTCGATTTTTGCTTTCCAATCTGGCGATGCGATGTTGGGATAGGGCAATCCGATTACTATGACGCATCGACCAAGACGGTCGGAGAAGTTGATGCCTTCTGACATTTTACCTCCTACGACGCTGAGAAGAAGAGCACCTTTTCCGTTGCTCTGCTCGCCGAGGATGGCGTCGGAATATTCTTGGAGGACTTCGTCGCTTGATGCGCCTCTTGACTCTTTGAAGAGTGCTTTTCGTGCTGCCAATCGATCCCAGATTGGCTGTGCGTTTCCTTGACTCTTTTGCCAGACAGCTACCACTTCGTCAAGATATCCATAGCTGGGGAAGAATATAACGACACCATCTGGGACTAAGGAGCAGAGGTTCAGAATGGCAAGGCCCAGCTGCGTTATCATTTCTGTGTCGCCTCGCTTCTGGAAGCTGAACTCAAAGGATGGTGCCCCAGGTCTTGAAGAGGCCAGCGTCCAGACACAGAGGTTCTCGGGCGGAATGACATGTCCACAGCTAAGAGTGGTGATTTTTTCTGGTTCCAGTGAAGGGAACAGGTGGTCTTTGTAATCATCAAATGGAGACATTGTACCTCCTGCAAGCACAACTGCTCTCGCACTCGACGCGATAGATGAGAATGCGTAGGTTGGCGATAAGAGCAAGTAAGAAAGCTGTATGTCGAGGGCTGGCCCCTTGATCTTTTGATAGAATATTCGACCTTCGGAGCTGAGATTTGTAAAGGCGATGAGGAACGATACTAGGGTGTGAAGGACTGGTGAACTTGATCTTGGTGTTTTAGAGTTTGTATCCTCACTTTCGACATGGGATATGTAACTTTCGATCTTGAAGGCGAGCTTCGACTCTTGGATGTACTGGATGAGCTCAAACATGTTGATCTGGTCAATTCCTTTTGGCCGGGTTAAGTCGTTGGGATCCACGATACCGTGTTCTTGCTGTGAAGATGTTAGTTGTTACTTCACCAGTAATGGACGTAGACTGACCTTGAACTTGAGTGCGCTGTCCATCCATTCGCTAAGACCATCAATGACCCTTCCCACTCTCCCAACATTGACTCGGTTGACGCCCTTGAGCTTCTTGCCAAACTTCTTCACGTAAACGCCCAACATGGCTCTTCCTCTTCGCAGATCGCTCAGCTTAATCTCAGCCGCATGCACATTTGCCACCGCATCCATGATATTATGCGCCTCGTCGATAATAACAACACTGCCCTCCAGCTTGACGCCAAGCGCATCTCTGGCACTTTTCTGCAACAACAAAGGGTACGGAAGTGTGATGATCTCGGCGCCTGGCAAGGCCGTTCGCGATGCGTAATATGGACAGACAGAAAGTGATTTGCCAAGTTGATGAAGGTCCTCAATATCTGGCAGTGTGGCTAAAGCTGAGTCGCGGAATTGGTGTGTCTGAGAAAGCAGATCTTCTTTGGGGACGAAGGGACATTTCTGTCCTGACTTTGGCTGTTGGAGTTCTGAGCACCTGTCGTTTATAGCCTGGACGGACCCCAGGCGTGAGACAGTGGGATTGATGCATAATCTCTGCCGAGAGGATAATGGTAGAAGCTTCACTGCTTCTGTCTTCGTCTCTTCGCCCTTGGCGAGCGACGTTGGCAGTGAGGGTGGAAATGAGGGGCGACGAAGTTCGGTGATGAATTGCGAAAGTTGAGAATGCGTTCTTGACGTATAATAGATCTACTAATGTTACTACTCGTACTTTACGGTTTATCGAAGATGTTCGCACCTTGATTTCCTCCTCCAAAAGATCATCTTCCTCCTCAGGCTTCTTCGCCCCTCCCAAGCCGATACTCGCAAGGACTTCTCGTGTCTCTCTACTCAAGCCAGACAGCGCATCCTGAGGTCCAGCATCGCGATTATCTGGGTCATCAAGCAACCACTCGGCATCTTCATCTTCTACGCGTGATCTACTGGGTACGAAGTCTTCAACTCGGCGACGCTTACGGGCGCGTTCTTCTTGTGCCTTTTCTTTGAGACGAAGGGTCTCAAGACGCTTCTCCCGCTCTTCCCAGCGCGTGACGAGCTCTTCGCGCTTGCGCCGCAGAAGCTGCTCAACGAGCCATGATGGTTCATCCTTATAAGCTTCCGCTGATTCTTGGATTGATGCTTCGAATTGGTTGGATTTGTGGTTGCGAAGCCATGTTAGTGAGGCACAGATCAGTGAAAGTGACTTCCCCTATTCAGTGTTAGTATCTCTGATAGGATAGCGTATTGCAGACCCAAAGCCAATAATACAGCGTCGAAATATCTGCCTTGGGATTTCCAGGCACTTACTGTACCAGTTGGGCTCTCTAGAATGCCAACTTGCCCATTACCAGTCTCCAAAACATCGTAAACAGCCTTCATAAACTGCTCTTGAACATCATAAGGTGTATACGGATGATGAAAGTCCAGCTTTTCAAGATCTTGCGTGACTTTTTCCACTTCGGAATGCGCCATCTTGATCAATTAACATCAGTTGTCAATGGATTGAATACCAGAGCCACCGCACTTCAGGCGCGTCTCAAAGCATCAGTTACCCTTGAGTCCATCATTGGTGGGTCTTCACCGAGACTCACCACGGTCAACCCACGAAATCACCTGACACGCTAAAATTGGAAAGACCGCAAGTCGGCCCCGCTTTCCCACAGCAATTTTCTTAGGGTTGCTCTGCCCTCGTCTGGATTTTCGGCTCTTGCTAGCTTTACAGGATATCACCCTCCATTTCGAAGTTTCTACTGTGAACATTCGGACAAGTCGACAACCACAGCCGTCACCATGCCTACCCGTACTTCAAAGACCCGCAAGCAGTATGTCCTCATCCCCCTCGCCGTCGACGAGGTTGGTCGTTGAGAGAGACCGCGTCCGTTCCTGTTTTCCCTCAGGAAAATCAGAGATAGACCGCTGGAGCTCACAATAATCGCCCTTTGTCGGCGGCTGCTCTCGAACTCGACGAGATCAAAAACGATGTTATACCGAACTTGAGATGGACTGACTTGTTATTCAGCCGCGGTCACGTTTCCGCCGGTAAGGGACGTGTCGGAAAGCACCGCAAGCACCCCGGTGGTCGTGGTCTTGCTGGTGGTCAGCACCACCACCGTACCAACATGGACAAGGTTCGACAGCACGATTGAAGCGAAGACTTGGGCGAGGTTTTGGCTAACTCTATGACAGTACCATCCCGGTTACTTCGGTAAGGTTGGTATGCGATACTTCCACAAGCAGCCCAACCACTTCTGGAAGCCCATCATCAACCTCGACAAGCTGTGGTCTCTCGTCCCCCAGGAGACCCGTGACGCCTACGTCTCCGGCGAGAAGAAGGATACCGTCCCCGTCCTCGACCTCCTCCCCCTCGGCTACTCCAAGGTTCTCGGCAAGGGCCGTCTCCCCGAGATCCCTCTCGTCGTCCGCGCCCGCTGGGTCAGCCGCCTTGCTGAGCAGAAGATCAAGCAGGCCGGTGGTGTCGTTGAGCTTGTCGCTTAAGCAAGCAACTGTTCTCTAAATGTTGTGCTTGCTTAGGAGTCGGTTGGGCTTGTATGGGAATTTTCGCAAAAGGAAAAAAGAATCTCCAACCCGCGAACAACGGGCAATGGATGACAGGTCTCCTGTGAGCAGGGACCTAGGTCGGTCGGCTTCGGGCATTGCATCAGGGACTCTTGCAAGGAGTTAACGAAATAAAAATCGATTTTCGCCCATGATGATGAATGACAAAACTTTTTAATACACTGTGATCGTGCCACTGGTGTCCTTGTACCTGTTCCCTGTGAGACGTTTGTAACACTGGGTATCAGTCATGTTGGGCTATGTACCAGATATCTAGCCAACCACTTCCATAACACCATACTCAAATCAACGCCTTCCATGCTTCTATGTTTACATTAGTGATACAGAATTGTTTAATGACCCGCCATTCCTTGCTCGTTCTCTTGCCTCTCGGCTTCAATGTCGCCCAAGAGAAGAAAATCGTGGTTCAATGCTTCCGCGGCCGTTATTCTCCTGCCAGGATCCAGCTCCATACACCATTCGAGGAAGTTAATGGCCAACTTTTCCTCTCCTGTCAAAGGCTTTTCCTCACCTCTGCATGTGCTCCACATGATGATCTTCTCCATCGAGAAGCCTCCTTGACCGACGGTGGGAATGCTGGTCTCGAAGACACACCCATGCAGTAAACCTGCAGCCTTCATGCGTTTAGTACCAAATATAGTCGCTATCTCAATCATTGCTTCAACGTCGTCGGCCGAATTGAAAAATGGGAAGCGCTTAGATAGAATGGTAAGTAGGATAACGCCGGCAGACCAGATATCGATGGATGTAGTCTGCTCCGTGCACTTGAAGAGAACCTCAGGGGCACGGAACCCTCTTGTTCCAGCGCGATTGGCACGTCGGGATGATCGTGTGTCAGACTTGGGATATCCTGCCTGAGGAGTCGCAGCATTCTGCGCCCAGACTGAGTTTGTTTGGCGATGCTTTCGGACTTCTCGGGACTCGTGACAAAGACAAGGCTTGGCATCAGACCCTTCCCTCTCGGCAAGACCAAAATCGACTAAGACACCGCGCTGTGTACCTGGGTCGTACAGGAAATTGGTAGGCTTGATATCGCGGTGGAGAATCTTATGATCATGAACACTTTTCAGGGCGGTGAAGAGTTCTCTCAGGTAGACAGAGATCTCTGCAATAGTCAAGTCACGAAAGTACGTGCGGAAGTCTCCGTGTCGAAAGTAAGGCAGGATAGCCACGACCTGGTCGGTTTCGCGGAATGCGGTGATGAGAGGACAGACGGAGGGACATTGACGTAGATCGTGGAGTAGTTCAAGCTCGTTAAGAATTCGCGAGGGGCTTGAGGTGACGTAGATCTTCTTGATTGCAACGTAACGTGCCTTGCGACGGGGACGGTGAGACACAGGACTGTCGGTTGCTTTGGGCGGTGGTGTCCATTTTGAGGAATCGTCTTCATAGTCCCAGCTGTTGTCGTAGTGGTCGTACATAATATCCTCGGCTTTGTAGACGGTAGAGAAGGTTCCTGGCAACATTTGTTAATCTCAATGGGGCGCAAATGGGAGAAATGGGAATGTACCTTCACCGATGCGTTTGATCAACCGATACCGATTGCGAAAACCAGGAAAGTCATTCTGTAACTTATCCATGTCTGCTTGAACGGTTCGGTCAACGGCTTCGTCTTCAGACTCCTCCTCCTCCTCTTCTTCCTCTTCCTCTTCCTGGGGCTCTTCTTGCGGTTGTTGCGGTTGGTGTTGGGCGTGCTGTTGCTGGTGCTGCAATTGCTGAATGTGCTGTTGTTGATGCACCTGCTGGAATGACTGAACGCGTTCGTCTTCATCTATTGGAGCTGCTTCTTCAGTGCGCTCCTCTTCAACCATCATCTCCGTATCCTCCGTCCTCAAATCCTCATGGATATCGAAGTGCTCTTCGACATGCTGATGAACCGCAGCGCTCATGATCGCTTTGTAATACAGAAAATGCACCCAGTAAAAATCAACTTCGCTTCAGCCGCCTTGAACTCTCACAGGTAGAAACAAACTTAAGAAAAAGAACAAGACTTTGTTATTGGCCCTTCAGAGCATCCACGGGTTGCAAATGCAGTCGAAGTTGGAGGGGCTTGAAGATTAAAGCCAGCCTCGATGAATGGTTGCAAGGGTCTGATAGGCTCAACGCGCTGTCTTTTTAGCGGGACATGGAGGGGAAGGGCTCTGAGTGGTCGCGTTGAACAAAACAAAAACAATCGTTGCCCAGGGGTTGGCTCACGTCCCCTCAGCCAAATCTAAATCCCCTCCACCGACTCGGTACTAAGCTTGCATTGTCAACAAGCACCAAACGGTCAGGTTTAACGGGTCTGGTATTACCTGGTCGCAATACATTCGGCGCATAAGGCACGCTTAGTCCTTTATCATTTTGTGATACCCTTTCATTAGGTTTTACCGTTCTTACCGCTTCATTTCTTTCCCTCTTGTCGCTCGCTACTTGCGACGACACTGTCGACTCGCCCGCCATGGATACCATTGACTTTGACCTCAACGATGCCTTGAAGCACTACATGTCGGACCCAGCCAGCATTTCAACGCCTGAAGCTGATGGGGCTCTCTTCGACTGCGAAAATGACCCCGAAGCCCTTACACTCCCTGTCGTTAACTCTGTCCTAAACCCTATCGTCGACGCAGTCGCCGATAATCCAGATGCCATCATGCGCGCCTCCCACATGGACTCGCTGCAGTTCCTCCTCAAGTTAGCCCCCATATCCCTCCATCATTCACCTGATACTCCGACTGTGGGACAACATTCTGAGCTAGAAAATCCCAGATACACAGCACATCTTCCCACCCACGCCCTAAGCAAGATCTTCGACCTTGTTATGAGCGGCTTGAGTGCAGAGGCCGACTCTGTTCACTCCGATATCGACTCCCCCGACGAGCAAGACTCGGTACCCCACCACAAGAAACTACTCGAGATATACGGTTTCCTTTTGCAATGGACGATCGCTGCTGTCGAGACCAAGGCCGCTGAGAAGTCGTCAGCGGCGCCGGCTGCGAGAGGACGCGGAAAGGGAAAGAAGGGGGCCGCAAAGGATAAGGACGCAGCTTGGGATTCGGCTACACAGCTTCAGGGAGCCTTGGAAGTTATGTGCAAGGTCCTCAAGCTCAAGCTCTCCAAGATCTTTCTCACAACAAGCGAACGAGATACATTCATTGGTCTCCTTACCCGACCAGTTTATATGGTTTTGGAGAGTGAGCAACGGGTCAAGACAACAACCATCCGAATGCACTGCTTCAAGGTCCTTTGTATTGCAGTGAAGCATCATGGACATGGATATGGTAAGCACCTCGAAGTGCCCGAATCAAGTGAAATGCTGACAACTGAAAGCGGCGCAAATCAACATCATCCAGAACTTGACATATTTCGAGCACTTGTCGGAACCAATGGCCGAGTTCCTACACATCCTAGCAGAAACTTACGACTATCCTCAGCTCGCTGACGAGGTATTACGCGAAATCAGTAACAAAGAATTCAACTCCAACGATACTAGAGGACCTAAGTCTGTTTCTTCCTTTATTGCCAAGCTTTCTGAGTTGGCGCCACGATTGGTGATTAAGCAGATGACAATGCTTGCGAAGCAATTGGACAGCGAGGTAGGTTTTCATGGATATGCCATGTGCTGTTAGCTAATCAGAGCAGTCATATACTCTTCGATGTGCTCTTATCGAGGTCTGTGGAAACATGGTTGGCTACCTCAGCAAGCAAGATGAGCGCAGCGAGAACCACAAGTCCCAACTGAACGCCTTTTTCGATGTGCTGGAAGAGCGATTCCTCGACATCAACCCCTACTGCCGGTGCAGAACTCTCCAAGTGTACATGCGACTTTGCGATCTTGCGCAAAAGTTCCCCAAGCGGCGACAAAAGGCTGCAGAACTCGCCTGTAGAAGTCTGGAAGACAAGAGCAGCAATGTCCGACGTAACGCAATAAAGCTTTTAGGCACACTTATCAAGACACATCCTTTCACGGTCATGCACGGCGCCCAGCTGTCAAGAAAGGAGTGGCAGGCTCGTTTGGACATGGTGCAGGAGGAGCTGGATGCTCTCAAGCCTCCCCCTGGTGTCCCTGGCTTTGGAGGCGATCAGGCGAACACGACCGTCGACAATGAGCTTCTTGATGAGGCGACACAACTTGGCTCTCCTCAGAAGCCTACCCAGATGACTGAAGAGGAGAAGGCTGCTGCTATCAAGAAGGCACAGGAGGAAGCTGCTACAAGTGAAGCTATCGAGAAGCTGACACTCACCCGGAGATACTACAACGAGGCTCTCAAGTTTATCGATGTTATCCACGACGCCACCACCACGATCTGCCAGCTCCTCGGGTCAAGGAACAAGAGCGAGGTTATTGAGGCTATGGACTTCTTTGAGGTCGGTGACGCCTACAATATTGAGCAGAACAAGGTCGGTATTCGACGTATGCTTCGACTCATCTGGACCAAGGGCAATAGCGATGAAGGAAAGGGTGTCCAGACACACTTGATCGAATGTTACAGGCGACTCTTCTTTGAGGCACCTGACTCGTTCAGTCCTAATGATTCGGCAATTTACATCGCGCGCAACATGATCAGTTTGACCTTTGGCGCGACACCCGCTGAGCTGACATCGCTTGAGCAGCTCTTGGCGACAATGATGAAGGGCGGCATGATCCCCGAGGTTGTTATCAACAAGCTTTGGCAAGTCTATGGTGTTCAGAAACGGGAGATCTCCCGCACTCAGCGCCGAGGTGCCATCATTGTTTTGGGAATGCTGGCAACTGCAAACCCCGAGATTGTGGTTGGTGAGATGGAGACCATGCTTCGGACTGGTCTTGGTCTGCATGGACACAATGATCTTCAGTTGGCCAAGTTTACATGCATTGCTTTGAGGCGTATTAACCCATCTGGACGACAGTCTAAGGACTCTCCTGTGAAGTTCTCACGATTGCCAAACGACCACGCTGTGTCCGTCAGATTGGCTGCCATCACCGAGGTTCCTTCGGACAGCAAGGAGTGGTATGGAGTAGCAGAGCAGGCCATCAACGCCATTTATGCTATTTCTAAGCATCCCGATACCCTCTGCTCAGACCTCATCCGACGAAAAGCACGACAGGTGTTTGGACAGTCTCGCTCCCCACCATCCTCGCAGCCCAGCTCGCGCCCTACATCGCGAGATGAGACAAAGGTTGCGCCAACAGCTGACCAGACTGCGACCCAGGGCGAGAAGAAAAAACGCGACAATGCCATCGCTCTGTCTCAGCTTCTATTCATCGTCGGCCACGTTGCCATCAAGCAAATTGTTCATCTTGAGCTGTGTGAACTCGACTTCAAGCGCCGAAAGCAGGAGAAGGAGAAGGCAGCGCCCGCTAAAAACGACAAGGACAAGGAAGATGATGCGGATGAGCTTGATCTGATCGGAGGCACAACAGAAGATGACTTTACAGAAGCCATGGCACACATTCGTGAGCGAGAGCTTCTATACGGGCCCAACTCTCTACTAGCCGTCTTTGGCCCGCTGGTGTCAGAAATATGCGCCAACAACACAACATACGCCGATAAGGGACTCCAGGCCGCCGCGACACTCTGTCTCGCTAAGCTCATGTGTGTGTCTGCCGAGTACTGTGAAGCAAACTTGCCGCTGCTCATCACTATCATGGAGCGTTCGCCCAATGCCACTGTCCGAAGCAATGCTGTTATCGCACTGGGTGACATGGCAGTCTGCTTCAATCATCTCATTGATGAGAACACCGACTTCCTTTACCGCAGACTGGCTGACGACGATGCGTCCGTCAAGCGAACGTGTCTCATGACATTGACTTTCCTGATCCTCGCTGGACAGGTCAAGGTCAAGGGTCAGCTCGGCGAGATGGCCAAATGTTTGGAGGATGAAGATCGCAGGATCGCTGATTTGGCGAGAATGTTCTTCACCGAGCTCAGCACCAAGGACAATGCTGTGTACAACCACTTTGTCGACATGTTCAGTCTGCTCAGCGCTGGCGGGAATATGGAGGAGGAGAGCTTCCGCAGGATTGTCAAGTTCCTTCTTGGCTTTGTTGAAAAGGTATGTGGTGCACTCATGGTTGAACAAGCAATGACTAACGCATTGGCCAGGACAAACACGCCAAACAGCTGGCCGAGAAGCTTGCCGCACGACTCAACCGCTGTGAGACAGAGCGACAATGGAACGATGTTGCATATGCGTTGGGCATTTTGCAACATAAGAATGAAGAGATTACAAAGCTGGTATCTGAAGGCTACAGAGTCATTCAATCCTCTGCTTAAGGGTGTTGGAGTCGCATCTTGGGATTGGCTAAAATGATGCTATGAGTGATACGAAATGGAATGTAACGATGAACATATAGATGGCCAGGTTAGGTGGAGATGCGTTGGTTTGAGTTTTCGCGATAGATACCAGTGTTATCAAAGAATTTTGGTATTGAAGTTTGTGTTGCCTCCACTTTTATTGTAATGTTGTTGAGAAGACCTGATAGCTGAAGTAGTATCTGTTTTGTATGAGTTGTATGATGCTTGTTACGTTTCACGATGTTTGTCACAGGCTCGACAACGCTCAAAGGCAACATCCCTGGTAGTTTGTGATACTTCAGATATAAACACGCCGACAACGTTGGCCTTGTATACGTGTACAATGCGCATGTGACTCAATTGTTCCATTCTGAGCTCAACTGGTGATGAATTTTCGCATCCCGAATTGATCTAGGGTAGTCACTGACACGCCACCAACTGAGACCACTTCTGCGTCGCGAGACAACCTACCTACCTAGTCTAAGCTAAGGCCAAGCCCCACACAAGCTGTCCAAGTGATAGCCTCGGTCATGGCATCCGTAATCAATAACAAAGGATCAAAAGGGTTGAGGAACTTGACAAAGAGATAATGTCATTGCTTTGGATCAAGTGGATGCAGCAGATTAATTGAGTCCTTTGTGCTTTACCCCTTTTCCCTGGGATTCGAGCTGTAAAGTATAACTCAAGCTTGCTGCGTTGATGATTGAATGATGTGACGGGGGGTCAGCACTCCAGCTCCAGGTACAAAAAGGGCGGGTCTTCCCACCTAGGTTTGTTTCTCTGAGCGGCAGTTGTACTGTATCGAGCCCATCATAGGACGAAACTTGGTGATCTATTCCTAACCTGATTGGTTCATTCGTGGTAAGCTCTCTCTATGACCCTGCTGATGGATATGAATATTGTTAACATATAACTAACATAAGTTCTTGTTATCGGTCACTTTACAACAACAACAGTCTTGACGTCCAATTCTGACATCTTATCGCTCCCCGACTCTCGTGTTGCTCCACATTTCTATTCCGACCTTAGACTTGAGTTGCTCTTTTGTTTCTGTTTCTTATTCTTGTCGATAAGATAAAGATAGTGAAACAAAACCGCTTCTGCTGTCTTGACTTGTCCAACATCACGTCGCACTTGTTACCGCAGAGCTTGGACCAACTCCAACTGCCACACACGATCGCGATCGCGGAGAATCAACTGCGCCACCAATTTACATTACGGTAGGCGCCGCGATAACGTTCCAGCGCCTCCGAGTCTCTCAGCGTCCACCAAAGCTAAGGTGCTCACCTACCCAGCCAGCCACGTGATCGTGCTCATTGAGAACAGTACAAGGAAGAAGCTGGTCCGCGCTACAAGCTGTGCCAACCTAGTGCGTCACCTTGTACGAGCTTTCTTTCGTAGCATCAAGGACAAAAAAAGACACCAGCAAAGCGATTCAAGTTATCAGCACGGATCAATTCTACCAGTACCATTATTCACGCTGTTCAAGCCTGCGAAGAATTGTCCATTGAGAAGAACAAACGCGATTGCGACTGCGATTTGCACGTGCGACTGCGACGGCGCGCTGATTCACTTTCGCGACGATCTGCTGGTGAGGCCATGGGCTTGACTGGTGCGCCTGCGCCGCGAAGGATTAAAGAAAGGGGAGCTCGCTAGGTACGTTTCTTTGTCACTAAGGATCACTAGCGACTTTATCCACTCAGCCTTTCACCAAGTTTTATCTGGCAAGTTCCGATGAATGCGAGCTAATCTTCGTGATCAGAGGCTACCGATATCATCGCAAGAACCCTTACACACATTTTACCTACCAACGATACACGCAATGCACGACAAGATCGTCCCCCTAGGCTCGCGCCTACATTACCCTATCATTGTTACGAAACTTCTCAAGAAACCCGGCGATACGATCAAGAAACAAGAAAGCATTTTCGAGTACAAGTTCCACTGGAAGCGCAAGGTTAACGATGAGACTTGGAACGATGAAACCACATACACCGAGTTCGACAGCCCCGCCGAAGGCAAGCTTAAACAATGGCGCATCCGCGAAGGCCAGGAGATCGCGGCTGACTCGCCCTGCCTGATGGTTGAAGAAGCGTGCGGTCATGAAGTTCAGGTGCAGGGTCTTTGCAGTTTGTGCGGCGCTGACATGACCGAGATCAACTGGGCGAGTGATAACCTCGACACAGATCGCGCTATGATCAACATGAGCCATGACCAGACTGTCTTGAGAGTCAGCGAAAGCGTCGCCACAAAGGCCGAGCACGAGAACCAGAAGCGCCTACTCAGACAACGGAAACTGAGTCTCGTTGTCGATCTTGACCAAACTATTATTCATGCTTGTATAGAACCCACGATCGGAGAGTGGAAGAACGATCCGACGAATCCTAATTACGAAGCTGTGAAGGATGTGAGGGACTTCCAGCTCAATGATGACGGCCCTCGCGGATTGACCAGCGGCTGCACATACTATATCAAGCTTCGACCTGGATTGATGGAATTTTTGGATGAGGTTTCCAAGATGTATGAGTTGCACGTTTACACCATGGGCACACGCGCCTACGCTCTCAACATCGCCAAGATCGTTGACCCCGAACAGAAGCTCTTTGGAAACCGGGTCATCAGTCGTGATGAGAATGGTAGCATCACTTCCAAGAGCTTACAACGTCTGTTCCCCGTCAGTACAGACATGGTAGTTATCATTGACGACCGAGCCGATGTGTGGCCTATGAATCGACCGAACCTTATCAAGGTGGTGCCCTACGATTTCTTTAAGGGTATTGGCGACATCAACTCGAGTTTTCTCCCTAAGCGAACGGATATTCTACCTATACTGAAGTCGAAGCCGGTGGAAAAGGGCGTGAAAATAGCACCAAAAGCTTCACCAATGGATGAGATCGCTCGAATGAGCGGCGGAGACGATGCCGCCAGTCTCAAGGTCCAGGAAGAAGAGCAGGAAAAGACACTCGAGAAGCAAATCAAGGATCGACCGTTGCTCCATATGCAGGAAGAGCTAGACAAGGAAGACGATCAGCAAGACACGAATGTTGGCGAGAATGATAGCGAATCACCGCCTGTCCACCACCGAAACGTTCTTGTTGACGACGACGAGGAGCTTATCGCTCTCCAAGACCATCTTACAGACTTACACACAGCCTTTTACGAGACATACGACCGGCGACGAGCGGAAAGGAGAGAGAAAGAGGGAACACACCCACCGGCACATAGCAAGTCAAAGCGAAGGGCATCCGTTGACGATGGCGTTGACTTATCTATGGTCCCGGATGTCGGCGACATTCTCGACGAACTCAAGTCCAATGTCTTGTCCGGTCTTGTGATTGTGCTATCAGGGCTTGTTCCTCTGGGCGTAAGAGTGGAGGAGTCGGAGATTGGTATGCAGGCTCAGAGTTATGGTGCTCAGGTCCTGGATACAGTATCGAAACGAGTCACACATCTTGTCGTTGCCTCATCACGCCCTCGTACCAAGAAGGTACAACAAGCAGCGAAAATCCCCAGCATTAAAATTGTCAACCAAAACTGGCTCACCGACTGCCTAAGTCAATGGAGACGACTCGACGAGCGACCTTATTTTTTAGAGATTATGGACGCTGATAGGGAGAAGGGGGGCGATGATACTACTGAAGTTACATCGGAAGCTGACGAAGCTGAAGATGCGCAGACGGGGCAAGAGCTTAGGGACTTTGACTGGGGAGAAGCTGAAGATGAACTGGCCGAATTCCTGGATGATGATGTTGGCGACGACGGCGACGTGAGCATTGCCCCCACAGTCACAGAATCTGACGTAGAATCCGTGGACGGTCAGAACTCGAAAGGCATCAAACGTAAGGCTGATGCCGATGAGTCAGACGACGACGGCTCAAATCTAGGCGAAAGTGTCCTGGCCAAGAAGCAACGCCTGGCTCGGAATAGGGGTGCCTCTGGTCTCCGATCAATACAAACACCCAACGGCGACGACCAAGACACAGAAGATGGAAGTCTACCCACACCAGTTCCAACGGGCGACGAAGATGTGGTGGACCGGGACAAAGAGCCTCTGGTGAATGTTGACGACGGGGCAGATTTTGATGAGGATGAGTTGGAGAGAGAGTTGCTAGCAGAGCTTATGGCGGACTGAGATATGAGAAGCATCAATGGCGAATTGAAGACTTGAAACCTCGGGAATGGAGTCAGGCGCGATATGGAATAGGATAATTTTTACCCTACATTTACATCAGTAAAATGGAGATAGAAGCGTGTACATGACGGAGGGGAGTTGGTGGGTTTGAGATTTGTACTGGTAAATACGCTGTGTAATACCCCGAGGCAAGGGCAATCAAGTCTTACAAGCACGTTGTTGTGTCTAATCTAATTTGATGTTATTTTATGAAACGTATGTGCCATGTTTGCTCCTTTGTCCTCTGATGGGATGAAGGTTGAAGGTTGAAAACCGATTACGCTCCACCCGGAGATCTTGTCGCCAATTTTTGACAGAGGGACAGGGATGGTTGACTATCCCGTACTAACAAATCTTGGTGTGGTTTGAGCCTGACCGGGTTAGTGAGAGCTACTGCAGAAACCCGTCTCACATCGGGGATCTATCATGCCGCTTCACTTAGAAAGACACTCGCCGGACGACAAAGTCATGACGTGTAGTGTGTCGCTTTGTAATTAGAATTGCACACGGAGGAACGATGATGAGATACGTGAGATGCGTATAAGAAGGACGAGATGTCCCTTGATTGAAGATGCCAGCAACTCTTGTTACATTCGTACAACCACTTGAATCAACATAACTGACACCACTTATTGTCTTGATCCTGAAATTACTATCTATCTCAATCATGGTATCCTTCAAAGGCTTCAATCCAGAAACCGACATTCCCTCTCTCACCGGAAAGGTCATCCTCATCACTGGCGGTTTGTCTCCTCCTCCCTCTTCACAATCACCTCCTAACGAGTCACCAGGAACTTCCGGTCTAGGCCGTTCTGCTATCCTCACTCTCGCCTCTCACAATCCATCTTACATCTACTTCACCGGGCGCTCCTCAGCCTCCGCGTTGTCTCTCATATCTGCCATATCTCCCGTTCCAGCAACATTTCTCGAATGCGATCTAACATCCATTGCAAGCATGCGCTCCGTAGCGAAGATGTTCACACATGATCGACTAGATGTCTTCATCGCAAATGCGGGAGTCATGGCTGTTGATGGACTTACTCAAGATGGACTGGAGCTGCAATTTGGTGTTAACCATGTTGGCAATGCGACGCTTTTGATGGCTCTTTTGCCAATCATGCAGAAAACTGCTGAGAAAAGCGAAGTGCGATTTGTTAGTGTTACTTCACTCGGATACGCAGGCCATCCAAAGAAAGGCATCGAGTTTGAGACGCTGCACTCACTCCAAGAACACTTACCCTTTGGAACATGGAGCCGTTATGGACAGAGCAAACTCGCCAACATCGTCCTGGCAAAGGAACTGGAGCGACGATGCCCTGCTATCAAGAGCGTTGTTGTCCATCCTGGTGTTATTGCTACGAATTTGGTCACAGGCCTGGGGTTCTGGAAGAGAATGTTTGTGTATGTTACCAACCCATCTATGATGACGGTCAAGCAAGGTGGATATAACACCGCTTGGGCTGCGGCCGGTGATGTCAAGAGAGATGAGACAGTGGCGTTTTATGAGCCCGTTGGAAAGGCAAACAAGGGTGATGACATGTGTTTCAGTGAGGACTTGGGCAAGAAGCTGTGGCAGTGGACGGAGGAGAAGATTGAGAGTGTCAAATAGTCACAGTAGAGGTAGTCAGTGTCTTCTTTGTGACCTTTCGATTCCAGGTAAAACCAGTTTGTTAAAACATATATACAAGCTTGCGTCTTTCCACCGTTTGTTTAGTTTGTAGTAGGAGGGGGTGTAACAGCGAAAGTCGGCCTCACGAATCTGCCCTGTGTTAGCATATTCCCCATCAACGGTACCTCTTGACCAGATAACTAACCGGTCGCTGTTGTAAACCTTGGCATTGTCGCCGAGCAACTCCTTCTCACGCTTCTGATCGGCAAGATATCGACGGACCTGATCGCGGTCCTCTTCGGCTTGGAGAAGGGGAATGAGGTTGATGCGAGCCCACATCTTTTCACGGCCGAGTTCGCTGATAGGTGTTAGTATTGAGTTCCATATCGTTGTTTTCTGTGCGAGCAATCGTGGTCGTGGGGTGTTTGTAGATTGCCGGCGTGTTTTGTTGTAGATGCATGCTCGGGTAGAGGGAGAGATAACGTACTTGGCCTCACGCATGCCGCCGATCAGCTTATACCAGCCGTAACCCATAACAGCGCCCATTCCGAGGAGGAGGATACCGGGACGGAAACCCTTCGCGGGGAGGTTTCGCTGTAGAAAGTCAGATAAACGTCCATTTCAACGGCCTGCATTTGCTCCATGTCTTCCCGGCCTTGCAATCGACCGTGACGCCCCCCCAATTCTTTCAACAACCCCCCCACGAGCCAATTGATCTCATAAATACCCTCAAACAACACATCGTTCCAATTGCACTCCCGTAAACTTCCAACGCACCTTGTACTGGACGGGCTCGTACCCGCCCCGAGGGGGCATATCCTGAGGCATGCTGGGCAAAAATGAATGTCGCTCGCTGGTCTCGAATGTCGCTACTGTCGTATCGTCCCTCGTGCGGGCGGGCTCGTCGTTTGCTGTCGCGTTGGGCGGTCTTCGGTTTGTGAGGTGATTGATTGAATTGAGCTGCCAGTCAATTCCGGTCGACAGACTTGAGCGATTACGTAAGGTGACTGGGGAGCTTTGAGAGCTGGGCCGTCGAAATGGGTTACTAAGCGGATTGGCCAGTAGATTTGTAGGGATTAGCAAGTGAAGGTATTCCCATTATGTTGAAGCAATTGAGGCTGTTTGCTTTGTCTTTATGTATTTGTACGTCGCTGATTTATAGGAACAATTGATGTAAACATGTTTGCGTCTCGAGGAATCATGTTTGTTTATTGTCATCCTTTCACAGCTGCACCTTCCACAGCTGGCTTACAGTGACGGCTGCATTCTTATGCGATGGTCACTCTCCGTTATGGGCCGTGTTTGAAGAAAGCTTTCGCTTCAATTTAGTTCTGTTTGAGTTTGCGATTGTCATAATTTACTGTTTTATTTGCGATAATTAATCTGCCTTTGTCAGCCATCAATGCTGCTTCACAGTGTTTTGCTATTGAAGGCGTTTGCTTCACAGAGTAGCCTTGCAGAGATTGCGACTGTAAAGATGTCTTGTAAGCATCCTAACATGTCAAGACCTCATTTACTTATTGAACAGAGACCTCACGATGGAGGATGATATCCCTGAAGGTTACAGGCCAGACCCCCCAGGCAACATCGAAGCAATATGGCACAAAAGCCATACCCCGATTCTAGATCTCTATCCCTACCCAAACAACAAGAGCCCTATAATCCCATCAACATCGATTATAGACGAAGACTGGCTTCTCGCGGCCACCAGCAGAGTGCGCCTCTTCAAGACCCTTAGCAGCAGCCCCAACATCCGAGAATACAAGGCCGAACACATCCAATTCTTCTTCTGGACAGCTCTTGACCGATCAAACCGCCGCTACAAAGACATCCACGCTCCTAACGCACAACTCTGGGAATTCCACGACATGCACGGTATGCTGGCCTGGTAGCGCGAGATCATGCACTCCCCGCATCTCGAGGAGACACAGCAAGCCCATGAAGATGGTCTTTGGCGCGATGTGCTTCTCAGTTCGCCCTGGTTTGACTGTCCTATCTTTGATGACTTGCTGAACAAGCCACAGATAAAGAATAAACAGGGCGGGGAGAAGCACGGAAAGGTTCGTATTGTGAAACGAAACCCGCATTTTGTCGAGTTGGAGGATGAGTTTCTGGAGAGATGGTGGTCCAAGGCGGCAAAGTTGAAGTTGAGGAGGTTTGACAATGGGGATGCGGTGCTGCCCATCACGGCACAGAGTTACAGGGATATGTACGGGGAGAAGGCAATGAAATGGGATATTGAGGAGGAAGATGACGAGAGCGATGAAGAGAGTGAGATCGGCAATGGTGAGGATATGCAGAGAGAAGACGAAGACGCTGACGACGAAGAGTCTATCTGACGACGAATCATCCGAAGAGGGATTTGATATCAAGAACTGGCTGCGGATGAACATGGATCGAGGAGGTGTATCAATAGTCCACCGTGTCTCATGCCTATTCACATACAAGGAAGCCCAAGAGTAGTATTTGAATGGCCGCCTTCGACTATTAAGATGCATTCAATGATTCTGAACTATTCGCAGCTTCAGTTTACCTCGCCATTTGGCTTGTGCTGTCTCTGTCTGCCATATCGGGCCTGTAGCAGTATTGCTACCATTCCCTGTTCTATTCCCCGTCAGTATAAGCTGCAGACAAATGGAGGCCACTCACCCAAGAACTACCCTCCCGAAGATCATCTGCGAAAGAATCTACGACGTGACATTTATAACAGTGCCAATCGACATGGTCAGCGTACTAACGACGATAGCTTTCTTTCTCCTAAGTCTCTCCCGATAGTAAAGGCAATGATAGCTTCAACAAAGCAACCGATGTCATAGATTGTAGTTACAGTAGCAAGGAGGTTCTTCGTTGTGGGTCCAACAAGGCTATGAAGTTTGAGAAAAAGTCTTGAGCTACGACGACATCACCCGAGAGTGTCAGAGGTTATGACTCGAGGATACCAAGGGGACAGCTCACTCAAGACACCTCAATCGTAGCCAAAGAGCGTCATGTCAGTTGCGTATGCAACCTGGAGCGGTAGAGAGTGTAAGTGAAGGATAGCGTGGCGAACTATTATCCAGAATGTAAGTCATACTCCTCCGAGACCGAAGGAAGGTTGTTTTAATTCTTTAGCGATAGGGAGAATATTTCCTTAATCGTTCAATGCCTTGAGAAAAGGGCGATCAGAGCACAATGATGACGTGGAAGACGATGCACATCGTTGGAAACTCTGTCAATTGACTTACATACCCGAAGTGCCACTCTCAACTTCATTTTAGACGCTCTATGTAGATTGCTACAGAGTTACCCCTATAATATTTTGCTTGCAGTAAGTATAATGGATGCATTCTTTGGCTGCCTGGACCTCACCTGACTCTCTCAGAGTCCTCATCGCCCGAGATGCAGTGATGAGTGGTACTGTTACATTGGCCTGAGTACAGTCAGTGAAGACATTATACTTTTATTCCTAGCGAGCGAACCAAGTGTGATGAAACAACCACCTCGATGCTTTTCCCTTGGGGAATTAGCTTGCATCTTACATGCGAGTAACTTCACTTAGGGACGACAAGGATGGCATTCCTCTGTTCTTGAGCACCCTCGTCCAATTATTCAGATACTCCCCCAAGGGATACCATTCTCCAGTTGCATCTGTCTCAACGACAAATCGTCCACCACATGTTGCAATCCCAAGCACATGATAGCAGCGGCATGAGACGTGATCAAAGGCCATGTATCTTTTTCCTCGACCCTGAGAAAGTATCCGGGATGCAAGTTTTCCCAAGAACTGTACACTGCGGGATCCAGCCGTGTACCCCCCTTTGCCTGCCACAACACCGAGGCGTTGTATTTCTGTTTGCGATATGTGAAGGCGCATGCTCCATTGGCTCCGCCGTTCCATATTGTGAGCCTCTCCAACTTTGGCATATGCTTGGTCTTTTGCGCAGCAGTCTGTAACAGTTCGTGGATCTCGAGAGAGTCACCGCCACTGGTGAGAAGTCGGGACGTCAGTGTAAGGGAACGCAGGTCGGCCCAGAGCCAGTTTTCTTGACACTGGCTGAAGAAGTCGACGGCATCAACGATGAAAGAAAGGGAGAGATTCTCAAGCGAAAGGCTGGCTACAGCGAGCTCCCGAGCAAGCACTTTGCCTGGCAGAATTGGCCTCAGTTGGGGCTGGAAATGGCGTTGAATCCGCGATCTGCGGCGACGAGCTACCGCGTTAAAGTACTCGTTGCGATCTTGGAAAACCGTCATCGACTTGACATTTTTGAAGGAACTAGGCTGTAAGAACAGGCGCTGTATATAACCTTCCATGTAATAGGGTCCATAAATCTCTGAGACATCCCAAGTCTCAAGGGAAATCTCTTCCAGCCGGGGAAGTCGCTTGAGTATGCAGGAAAGAGTGTCTGGTTCAAGTTGACGTCGGCATTGTCGAGGAAGAAGAAACTTGGTTACGGCTTGGACAGAGGGACCACTTTGCAGTTTAAAGGCCAAAGATGAAAATAATCCCCATAGTGACGCGTGTGAAGGCATTGCAAACTCTTGGAGTTGAGAATTTGACAAACGAGACATATCTCCGTCTTGTTCCCCTGGACACCCAATGTGATGCCCTCTGAACCACTCCTTCGAGTGATACACAGGCTCATACACGTTGATCTCTAGCGTCAAGTCCTCTTGTGCCGGCCAGAATTGCAAGGCCTGGAATAGCCGTGTGATAGCAACGTTGATACACACAGTCTCGTGCACGTTCCGCGACCGATCGCAATCCCGCGTTTCAAGCTCAACGTTGAGCCATATGTGTTTGACGAGTCGTCTATGTCGATACCGCAGGCGACCAAGTGTCTGAAATACCGTTGGTGAGCTATGGCGAGCGTCCAAAGAGGAGGCTTGAATACGAAGGTCCCGAAAGGTCTTTTTCTCAATGGCATCGCGCCATTCTATCGAGACGGGAGCATAGGGCGCGATATGGTCGTGAGCAACCACGTACCCCAAGATCATGCTGCGAATCTCTTGAGGGAGTGAGCCCCAGCGAGTCATCTGTTTTATGTGTGCGCGATAGCTTTCCTTTAGAGGATGTGATTAATGAAGGTCAAGTAACCGAAGAGTTGAAACGGAAGAGCTTGGGAGAGTATATAATACACGCAGTGAAGAAAGCTTTGTGGATGTTAAAGGAAACTTTAGCAACAACCTACCAGAATAAAGGTTCTTCTGATCCTTATATTAAACTGTACTTGAAATCTGCCAACCAAAGGCTCGGGGGGTTCACAGAAGGTTTTCGAGATCGCTATTTGAACTCTTAACTCTCTCTGCATTAAAGGCCAAACAAGACCCGGGGTATACTTTAACTCAATAAAAACTGGTATGAGCGCCTGAGAAAATACTTGATCAATGGGGGGATAGACTCTAGCGAAAACTCCATGTGGGTGGTTGAGGGATGAGATCACAGTGTTGAGCCGTGTGGCGACAAGCTACACATAGATGCGTCACTCATCATCCAAGTCAGAGCATCAGACCTCGATTCTCGGTTCCCAAGACGAAGTAGTGTTGTCTTCATACGTAGTCTATGACTTCTAGATCATACGTCTATCGGCAAGCAATCCATCCAGACTCCAAATCATCCAAAAGCCCATAATTAAGCCATCACCCAAATGCAGAAGAACAAGTGCACAACTAGATGAAATCACCAAAGAAAACCCCACACACAACAGTTCGTAGCAGCATGTTCATCATGCCACAGCAGTCGAAGGCGCCTGGCTACCCAAAGATAGCGGCTTCTCAGTGTCTACCAAACCCTCACTCAGCTTCTTCGTCACAGCGTCGGGATCTGGCTCATCTCTTCCGACAAATGTCCAGCTCTCCTCTGTGTCGTCGTCCTCATTTGCGTCGTGTTGGGCAGTCTTACCGGCGTTGCGCTTGATGAGACTCTTGGCGTATTCGAGATCGCGGTAGATGCACTGGATGGCGCTATCGACACCCGATTCCTATGGATGTTAGTGATTTGTGGAATTGAGAGTCGAGGGAGACTTACACTGCGGATCTGTTCGCCAAGGACACGAGCCTTTACAATCATGCGCTCGTTTCGCGTCACTTCCCAAAGGGCTCGACCGAAGCTGTTGGTACCCCATTTCTTCACCCAGACTCCAACACCAAGATCCTCAACCCGTGTAGCAAAGAAGAACTGGTCGCCAAAGAATGGACGAATGATGGTGGGAATACCGGCACGAAGACTGGCGCCTGTTGTTCCAGAACCACCGTGATGCGCAGCAGCGTCGATCTGACTGAAGAGCCAATCGTGTGGGGCGGACTTAATTACATGGATCTCTGGAGGCATCTCTGGCTCTTCGGGGCGAGGCTTGGACGGGTCGTCTTTCGGTGAGATACGGTCTGACCAGCCCTTCGATAAAATGCACCGAACATCTGCCTTGAGAACAGCGTCGATAACCTCTTGTGTCATCTTGGCAGGGTCCTTGACGATGATGGAACCAAACCCGACGTAGACCAACTTCTTTCCGTCCGCCCTGGCTTTGGCGATAAAGTTCTGCAGCTCCTGAGGCGGCTCCCAGTCACCTCCCTCATTGAGGAACCAGTAGCCAGTTACTCTAATCCAATCGGAAAAGTCCAGAGGAGGTGCGACCACGCTAGGACTGAAGTTGTACAGGAAGGGCACCTTATTAGGCTGCATCTTCTCAAGGTTGGTGCTAGGCAGGCCAAGCGTCTTTCGTCTCCATCGATTCACCTGGTAAGCCGTAGCTTTCCAAAAGATGTTGTCAAACATGACATATGTCATATAGTTGTATGCACCTCCCATCTTGTGCTCAGGCATGATAAAAGCGTGAGGATATGCTCGTGTCCTAGTCCAAGGCATAGTGAACGCTCGGAAATAGGGAATACCAAGCTTCTCCGCGATGTGAATGCCAGCCATGGCAGAAGGAGACTCAATGAGAAGTTCAGAGCCCTCACATGCTGTGTAGGCAGAGTCGAGAAGTTCGTCAAGCCATCCTCGGAAGGTCGAGTTTGCCTCCCGAAGGAAAGCCCATGTGAATGTTCCATTCTCGATACAAAGACGCATCAGCTCACCAGGGTCGCCCTCAACTCGGGCAAACTCGATACCGTGTGACTCGATCCATCCTTGGAATTCCGCATGTGTGGCAATCCGAGGCTTGTGGCCTTCAGCAATAAGACCCTTGCACAAGGCAATGTATGGTTGTACATCACCTCGAGATCCGATGGTGAGACATGTGATCTTCATCGACTTTTGCGGCTTGAACGCAAGACCGGATGAATTGGGGTTATCAAACAATATTGTCGGAGCGTTCGAAACTCCAGAGGTCTCGCGTGGTAGCTCCAGTTCGTGGTTGACAAACTCATCCTGTCGCGCAGCCTTCAGCGCGTCGCGCTCCGCAATTGCAGCAGCAGCTTCTTCATCGTCTTGCTCCTCTTGATCAAGGAAACCGGACTTCTCAAGGAAACGGTTAGTCTCCATGAGTTGATGCAGCGTCACCGCGCAATCATCTCGGAGCCCTGGGCGCCTAAACTCAAAGAATAGCTCCTCGTGACCACGGATGACGACTGTAAGGCCGTAGTAACCGAACCGAAAACCCTTTTCCTTGTGAACATTCTCGATATCCTTCAAAGGCAGGATGAGCTTTGTTCTTGTGCCGGGATACAAACTCCGGAAGCAGAATGATCGATCACTGATATAGAACTTTCCATAAAGAGGCAAAACCTTGAAGATAGCCCCAAAGTACGTTGCAATAAGCTTCTCTGACTCGGGGAGGGTGAAATGCGCCCGGAATCGGTCCATGGCGGTCTGTGTCTTGTCTTCTGCGTCTGAGTCGATGTCATCGCCATCATCATCAGTCTTGAGCTCTTGGGGCTCATCGTAATGCCTATGTTCTCCTTTCCACATGCCATGTACCTTTTCCACATAACCCAGTGACTCGGTCGCAAACATAGAACCCATACGCTGGCTTGTACGACTGAGATACTCCGCAAAGGCATTAGCTCGTTGTAAGGGATATGCTCCAATCTTAGTGATACTGTTGAGTGTTGGGGTGACTGGACGCTGAGAATCACTAGCTTCACCACCCATTTCCTGCATGGCGCCTGTCGTTGCGGCATGGTGAATATGACGAGGGCGCTCTCGGTTCGAGCTAGAGTTCCGAGGTGTTTTCTTCCCAGACTGTTCGCGCTTTCTAGATGCCGAAGCAGAGCGTCGCATCGTCGGGCTGTGAAAGACCTCGCTTCCTTGAAGGATCTGGCTCGCGGATGGATCCTCAAACGAAGACGGTGATAGTGTGGAGATACTTGGGTTGTCGATCGATGAATGAACGAACGAATCTCCCGAGTCCTGAGCCTGTTGCTGTTTGGGAGTCGTGCTGCCGTGTTGATGACGACTCGTTGATCGTCTGGTGCCGCTAAAGCTCCTGCGAGGGCTGAAGTCTCCGATGGAACTTGGTACATCTATACTCTTGCGTCCAAATCTTCTGAAACCGTCAAAACTTGTTCGTGGAGCGTCTATACTTGCCCGAGGGCTCAGTTGGCTTGGTGAATGAGGCGACAATGGCGACATGGGAGCCAGTGTGGCCTTCACGGTATCGGGAAGCTTTCCTGTGTGCAGTCTGTCAATTCGGGGAAGATGACGGCTTGCTGCCATCGATGTCCGGCCGGACGGAGATTGAGAGCTCTCGTTCTCCTCACGGCTAGACACAGCTTTCTCCGCTGACCGGCTTTCTGCAGAAGCCTCAATGAGGATCTTGAGCACATTAATGGCGTCCTTCCCAAAGCTGAAGAAGGAGAAAAAGTACTGTGACTATTGTTAGTGGAGAGGTTTTCAAGACTTTTTGGCACTTACCTCGTCAATAGCATATGTCTCATCATTGTCAATGACTCTAACCTTGCAAGTATCGGCGAACGCAATCATCTGAGTATCTTCAATATCGATCACATTTTTGATTGGTAATGAGATCTTGACGCTGTCGCCATCGTTGTGACTTCGGAAGATGACTCTCTGCAGGCTCTTGACCCATTCTTTCGCACTTGGAGCGCTGTCGGCCCTGAACTTGTACGTTCGATGATGTGTCTCAACTGTGAAGTGTAGACCTTCCTTATCCTTGTCCACGATGTTTGCTGAGATGCCGTATCGCAGATCAATCTGTCCATGGGGGAAGTAAACGTCTGTTGCAGTCTTGTAATATGCCAAAACATCGCCCTTTAGTCGGAACCAAAACCTTGTGTAGCTTGGGTTGCGTTTGCCGCTCTTCGATAGGTACCCTGACTTGACGGCCTCATTCTTGCTTGGTGTTAGCAACTACCTGGCAGTCAGACTCTGTAACTTACTGCCTTCTTGGGGAGGTATGCGTAAAAGCAGATATGCTTGGAGGTGATGTACATGTATCCTTGAAGAAGGACACTCTGTAGCAGCCAGCAGGGGTATTCTATGACCAGTTAGCATACTCAAAGGATGGAGATCCAACTTTGACAAACCTTCAATGACCTGCTCGTATGTATCAAACTCGAAAATCTCCTTGAGCTTCTTTGCCAGAGCCGAGACCACCTCGCCATCACTAGATCGACTAATATCAGATGATAAACGGTCCAGATCGAAGCTGGGTCTGCTAGACAAGTCGGCCTTGGCCTCCAACATCCTACTCATGACACCCTGGGTATCTTGGCGTGTCAGCGTAAGAGCTGGCGCAGGCGAAAAAGTGCCGTTGTCTTCCACGTCGGATTCATCAGCAGTCTCAACCGGAGCAGATAGTCGAGATGGCTGGGATTTATGCCGGGAACGAAGTTTAGGCAACGCAGGTAGCGATCGCAACAATTTATGCTCCGAAAGCTTTTTCCTTCTATGCCCTTTGTCCTTTCCCTTGCCTCCTGGCTGTAGGATCGATGTTTGTGCGATATGGTCACGGCTATGTTGTGATGATGATCCTTCACCCTCTTCGTCACTACTCATTCCATCGAATCGATCATTAAAGTCGACACGAGAGCTAGCAGTCGCAATAAGACCGAATATGCTCTGGTTCATGTTCATGAACATCGGTGGCCCTTGTGTAGTGTCATCCTCTTCATCGTCTTCGGCATCGCTTTCTCGTAGAGGCTCGGGAAACACGGTCGCGGTGGAGTCTTGTCGCTTTCTTCGATGAAGTTCCTCGTGGACATGCTCCTTGATGTCACCCGCGCCAATGCTGGCTTGGGCCGGAGCATCATCAGCTTGAGAAGCCATGATGGCCGGTCAAGTCGAGCGGGGCGACGGTCAACGATCGCCTACAGTCCTGGCTCTATTGCGATCGGAAGGATGGGATGGTTCACGAAAATGGCGCCTCAAGATTTCTTGTGCGAAGTCTAACTAGACCGACCGTCAAATTCTAGGCACGGTCCGAGGATGATGCGAGTGGTCATGCAGTCGTGAATCTGGACCCGGTTTGCGCCGCAAACAGTCGACGCTCACTATACTATCGTGGGGAAACAATACGACTCGAAGCTGATGCCATCCGCTGCGCGTATCGGGGTTCGTGTGAAGATTCGCTTGTGTGAGTGTTACGCTACGGTACGAAGGTTATTGTTTGGGCTGAACAAAACCAAACATAAAGAGGAGTTGGAGGAAACAAACATTCGGATCGCAAGGAAACGAATGAAGCATGGATCCAGATAAGGATCACGGCATTCCTGATCAAGAAGGAACCTGACCCTGGGGCTGACGCTGCCTAGGCTTTTAGGTCAATCTGCCTGAATCTCCAGTGGGGTTTTAGGGGACGGCTAGTGGACCTGACCTTTTAAGCGGTGGAAATACCTTGGGGAAACAATGGAACCCTTGTGTGCTATCCACTCTTGTGAGTCCAAGGCTTCTTATGATTGGCTGACACTGTTATCGATAAGAAATGACGCCAATCGGGCGGCTCATCCTTCAACACCGTGAATCGATCACATGCAAGCATTGGTCAAGTGGGAAAACAAGCCCAGATGATGTGAATAATGCCCTTGCCATGCTGACCATAAAGGCCCTCGCTCAGAGAAGAGCGATCAGCTGTTTGTGAATCCACGTCATAATGAACGTGCATGCGATAAGTTTCTGTGCCTGAGTCAGAGGAACGCCATGGCTTGTCATTCACTTTGGAGCGAATTTTTGAGGGGTCTAGGAGTAGATTTCACACAAACGTTCAACGTGATCGACTCAGCCTCTATGTACATCAGAGCAATTGTTTAAAACAGGGGACCCATAGTCCTCGGCTCTCGTACTCGGACATTCGTATTTTACACTACTCCAACAAACGCGTATTCTGTTCCGTCATTGCCGACAACCTGATCCAGTATTCACGAGATATAGCAAACCAAAACTCCCGCTTAAATGCTGATGATTCCATGTACCCCTTTTCGAAACCGGTAATCCGAGGCTCACTGCCAAAAACAAAGCTTTCCACTGGATGTTGCACCAGCGACCCAATCGCGAGACGGGTGGAAGTGTGCGACGGCTGGTACTGCAGTGATACCCTCCCCATCAAGCTGAGCCAGTTGGCTGCCGTCTGAGGCAAAAACATCCACAAAACGATTCATGTTACCAATGACAAACTTCTGAATTCCATCATGAGGCCGCTTCTGCCATTGAGGCTTCAGAATAGTCACCCAACGACCAGTCTGATTGTTGTGGCGTACTTGATGGGTAGGTTCAATGTTAACGTCCTGGCCCGGCTTCCAAGACGAAGCGTCAGGGAAGTTGTAGATCTTGATAGTATCGTCATAAGAGCTAGTAGCAATATGGCCGCCAGGGCTCCAAGATGCGTGCGATACAGACAGCCTCGAGCCATGTTCTCCAAGGAGGGCAGGGTGTCTCAGATCCCCCTTACCAGTGATCTTGCGAAGATCCCAAATCTTAAGTGTGCGGTCTAATGATGCAGTCGCGAGCAAGTGAGGTTGGAGCGGATGCAAAGAGAATCCACCAATCTTCTGGTCCGAAAGTGTCCAAATTTCGGCGTCATCGGAGGTTCGAGTGTCGTACTGACCGACGCCGCCTTCTAGTGTAGAGAAGTACAGCATATGAGGGTTCGACTCTGCCATGTCAAGAGCTGATATGGGCAGATCCTCATTGTGGTCCGATGGCGCCCATGCCTGGTATGACTCTCCTTTGTTCAAGTCCAGTCGCCGAATTGACGAGTCGTATGAAGACGTGTAAACAGAGTTGCTATCCTGCTGAGAGAAAACGAATGAAGTAATCGTGCGACTGTGTATCTTGAACGCAGAAATGACAGGATCAGGCACAGACGCATCTTCGTCTTCATCGCTTATTTCAGGAGCAGACTGCGAAGCGTCAAATACGCCCATGTTACCTTCTTTGTCGCCAGCAAAGATAAGGGGCTTCGATTCGGTGGGATGAAGGCCGAGAGCATAGACTCGTTGGGGTGTGATCTTGATGTCTGTGGTTCAGCGGTTAGTGACATGCTTCTCGCTTGTGCGAGACAGTACTTGCCATTGGGGGCCCAGTGCTCGTATAACTTCAAACCACCCATACGCTTTCGCAGCTCCTTCAAATCCTTGTCGGTAGTTTCCTTAATATCTTCCTCCGTGAACGTTCGGACTCCGGGCTGCGCACCACGGACAAGGCCCTTGAACCCGTCCACACCAGCGAGATACTTCTTACCCTCGACAGCAATATCGCCGAGTTTTAGGTCTCCATTCACTCTCAACCTTTTAGCCTTCGCCTCCGCTGCGACATGTTCGGCTTCAACCGCTAGTTTTCGCTTCAGGGTATCATTGTCTGCATCGAGACCAGCGAGTCGTGAGGACTGCCGAGTCGGCATTGCAGGTTCCCGTTTTGCAGGAGTCCGGGTCTTCGATCGGGTTGGCGTTGACTTCTTCTGGGGTGTCGGCATGACCTTCTTAGCGACTACGGCGACATCGGCTAGAATCTTCTGGTTTGACGCCATGTTCTCTTGTCGCCTGCGCTCGAAGGCGCTCATGGGCGAGTCGACGCCTTTCTTAGGAGGCATGGTGACGGTGAATGAGGCGCACGAATGGCAAGTTTGAATAAAGAATTGTCAAGCAAAGGCTAAAATTTGGGCGCTGAGAGAGCCTCCCCAGAGCAAAAACTTCGAACGGTTTTGCTGGTATGCGCAAAGAGCAAAGGTGACAGGATCGTGAATGGTGACGTGAAGGGCGCAAACCAAAGCGCGACTCATTAATTGAATTTGGCGCGAAGTCACGCGCTGGTGCCTACGCGTTCTGTATCCGGGATTCAACCGACCACTACTGACCCAGTATCAATTTTCAGCCTCCAAAAATCTCATGTGAAAATTAAAGGTTTTATCAAATCCTTGAACATATCACAAAAAATGTCTCGAAATCTTTTGCCGTTTTTGTATCAAACAAGGACACTACAACTCGCTTGTAGACGCCCTGCCAGCATTATTTTCGCTCAAAGAGCTGGATTGGCAACTTCAACAAGACGACTTAGAAAAGCCGATAATTCTGAAATTCCTTTCGACTTTGACGACGAGGACACAACAAGTGCAAACGAAACCGAGATTGAACGACAAGGAACGTTGACGCCGACGGAAACAGAGATTTTTAAAGGAATTTTCGATGACATTGCTCAAGGCCGCCTAGCCAAAAACAAAAAGCCTTCTCAGCTTGGCCAAACTCAACCTACAAGTTCAGCATCAAACCAAGAACGACCAGACGGGGCGCGTGGAGGAAACACACTGGTAGAAAAGGCCCACAACTCGAATTTCAGCGATGAATTCCTCAAGCGTTACCCATCATCTCTTCGAAGAGCTGCCGAGAACGCTTTGGGCAAATTCGAACTTGCACCAAAGCGCCCTAACCTTTACAGCTTGGCTGAACTTGACCAGGCGGAGAAGAAGCAGATGCGTGAGTGGGCAAAGTATGAGCAGATCAGGGAGAAAGAGAAGACGAGAGTGCAGAATCTTATGGAGGCTTCCAAGACAGACATTGAGCTTTGGAATGTCATGGAGGAAGAGGTATTCTCCTTACCTGGAAAGCTAGGCATTGTCGAGAAAGACACAACAGTCAAGAGAGGTCGGAAATCTAAAGAGCAAATCGCGAAGGAGGAAGCTGAAAAGGTGAAGGCCGAAAAAGCAGAGAAGACAGAAGGGGAGAAGGCTGTTATGGATATACATGGGCATCTATACCCTCAATATCTCGTCTATGGGCTCCAGCTCTTCGATACCGCATTTGCGAGATCATCTATCCTCGCATTCAATATCCTCCCCCGAGTCAAGGAACTCGGGCTTTCCTCCTACGTTCTTGGCGTCTCAACCACCTTTTTCATCAAACTTGCCGAAATCCACTGGAAGCGCTACGGCGATGCTACATCCGCCTTTGACGCCCTTGACGAAATGAAGCCAGTTGGTTTGTTCCCGAATGAAGAGCTCGGTGATCTCGAGGGGTTGGTTGAGCAGATCTCAGATCACTTGCACAGCTGCACCTGGGGTGCTCAGGGACCTTTTGTTATGGCTATGATGCAGGCCCCGCCGTACGATGCCAGTCTTATGAGCCGTTTGGGACGTATGAAGGGCTTGATTGCGAAGAAGCACTTTTACAATGAGAGAGATGGTCGTCTCGAGGATGGCACGGATCGAGTTAGGCTTTGAGCATGGAGTCCGAGTGATGGGTAAATGATTGTAAGATTATGATGTTGAATATGTATAAAACTGTATTGTTATGACTGAACAGCTACCATTCATCAATAGTGAAAAGTATTGTAATTGTCCTTTTTAACAACTGTTTAATTTCTCGCCTGGTCAGTCGCTTGAGGGTTTTGGGTCGCTTTTTGAACTTGGTGAGCACCTTGATTCCCCCCTCCCACCACGGTGGTGATCAATGAAGATCCTCAACCAAAGTATGGCAGCGATAATAGTGAAAGAAACAGCTGGCATTAGAAGAGGATTCTCGAACCAGGGTAAGGGAGAAGGAGTCTGCTGAAATGTTAGCACTAAATCAGAGACGCGGCAGATAAAACCTACAGGCATGATTCAGGCGTTTACTGAAGATATAGAGGAATGCTGGGGAAGAGTCTGGATCTGATAAAGAAGATGATGATAAGAAGAGAAGAAAAGAGATTTAGGCTTACAGGATATCTTATACCCAGCATTTTATGTTAAAATAAATTTACTATAACTAATTTTTTACTACCTCATGACTTGATACTTCTTAACCAACCACGACGTTAACAATCTTTCTTGATGGCCCTGATTAGCTAAAGTGATACTTTTAGATAACTCTTTTTCGTGTAGACTTTTGAAATATTTCACTATGCTTTCATCCAATGAACCTACATAATAACTCAACTTGCAGCTGCTAATAAGGTTACTGATTGAGTCATCATAAAAGCATATGATTCGTTTTTTAATTGGGGGACTTATTTTTTATTGAGGCTATATGCACATTGCCTTTAGAAACCCGAAGTTGATTGGCATTCTTTAGTGTGTTTGTTGGCTTGATCGACTTGTGGCTGAGAGCTTATTCTGGCAGACAGAACCTAGTTGGCTTGATATGTCTCGTTGAGATGTCATAAGCTTTAACTATCAATCAATCAACTGGTGATCGACTGAAATTCTTGAGATACAAATAGAAGGTTTCTTGCCCCTGATCCTTTATTGCCGAAGCTGTGATAAGGTTGAGGTCAAAGAGCCTTCAGCCTCAGCGCACAAAGGTAATGAACACCAATAGACATCTTTGCCCTTACTTTTGCCTAAGATCTTGCTTTTAGCTACAAAGCTAGATGTCCCGATGACTGACCCGAAAGGTGTATAAATAAGTGCCTGCCTGCTGCATTGCTGAAACAATTCACTGACCTCTCCATCTTCTCAATTTCGAACCACAAAGCCAAGCACTACCACCAATTCACGATCTACGATCAACAATCTACATTGCGGATCAATTTCTCGGTGTTCTCTATTACTTCATTCTCACGTAAAGCCATGGAACAACCGCCTACTCAGGAAATTCTCTCAAACACACCTACCACTACCACCAAAGAAACACCGCCCCCTTTCAGCCAAGCCTGGATTTTGGGACTGTGTGGAGTATCCTTTTATATTTCTCAGCCTATATCATGCAGGACCTGTAAGGTTTGGTGGGATATTCGAATACGTGCCTATACGTCCTGCTCCTGAAAGCTACAGCTATGCCGCCATTGTGTGGTATTACCTGTCACATAGGCAATGCTTTAATCAGTTCTTGGGTATACTGGGCCTTCTGGCCTGTGCGATGGGAGAGATGTGGATGAACAAGACAAATAGGTTCGGGCCGTCTCGGATGGTATTCAATATGCTGGAAAGCTGGAACTGGCGGGAATTACTGCCACCCGTCCTCTCAACCTCATATCTGACAAGCGGCCTCTTGACAGCCTGGCACGCTGTTCATTTGAAAGAGAACTAAGGGTTGGTCTAATCACGGCAGCCGATTGAAGCCTAAAACAGAGTGGACGCCTAGAACGAAGCCTTTAGCCTCGAGACTCGGCATCGGAAGGTTATGCATCGACTTCGATGATAGCGATGGGATCTAGGAATGCACACCATCCAAAGTACAGATGGTATTTGTCAACGAGAAAGAGATGGCCAGTATCACAAGCATTCAATGCGTGTGACAGGGTTCGAGCTAAACAAAGCTCCTCTTTGCTTGGAAGCGAGATTATTTTAAGTCAGGCATCCTGCTGGAGATATATTTAGAAGATCAGACGAAGTTACATGGTTGTTTTGTCATATTCTCTCTTCACAACAAGTTGGGAACTGTGAGTTAGCGATTATCCCCCCAGTGTAACCAATACGTGAAGTAATCTACATAGGTAAGTAGTTAAAAATGTGCTATTGGGAAGCCCCTATAGTGCATGCTACTTCTAAGCTTGCATTGAGATAACGACCTTTTCTAATTTCCCGTTTCTAGATCTGTCATAGACTCATAGTCATATTACATGTTTCCAACCAGTCCTATACAACACTAGCCATTTGGCTCCAATAAGCGCCGCGCCACTCAAAATAGTAAGGTACAAGTTTTTCGGTAGCTGTCTTCAAGATATATTCTTCAATTCGCGCACAGAACACCATCATCATTTGGTTCCGGCTTCTTAGGTTGTGCTCGGAGGGGATCTGAAGAGGAGGTGTGGGTATTGACCTAACCAGCAATGATTTGTGAGAAGGTTGATTTGATCGGACAGCAAAAAAGAAACCTCGGATCTGCGATGTTCTAAACATATAGTCTCTCGACCGCTCGCGGTAGGGATCCAGGATCACGATGCATAGGTAGGTTGGTCAACAGGTGTTTCTAGGTGGGGGAACCAAGTAACTATATGGCCTGTAATATGATCCGTCACAGCATGACAACGTGGCCGAGTGGTTAAGGCGATGCCCTGCTATCTCCTCGAGACATCATAGGCATTGTGTTCGCACGCGTAGGTTCGAATCCTGCCGTTGTCGATGTGTTTTTTTGCTTTTTCTTTGACTTATCTATATCTTCTAGTCTTGGCTCGCTTCTCGGGATAGATGAATTCTTCTATGCTGGTGTTTGGTGATCGAAGTTTTGGTGAACCGATTGCGGGATTCGAGCGCTGAGAGACGAACAAATCAGGGACTTAGAAATGTGGATCACTGTTTAAAGTGTTCAGGCTTAAATGCTGACAACTTCGACGCGTCTGAAGACCTCCTTTTTGTTTGCGATAATTATCCAGGTCAAGTTGCATTCATTTGCCAATTCTATTTAGACAATGGGCTCTTTTTTGTCTCGAGATGAATTCCCTGTTGAAGGCAGAGTATGTCGCTGCATTCCCTCTACAGCTGCCCCCGCCCACTAACGTTTTGCAGACAATCCTAATTACAGGCGGTTCCAGAGGTCTCGGCTTAGCAGCAGCGCGCCAACTCTCTTCCAAAGGCGCGAACGTCGCTATAGTCGCCCGTGACACAACCGTCTTGAAGGAAGCTCTCTCTGAAGTCGAAGCCTCTACCCAATCTTCTTCCCAGCGCTTCTTTTCACT